ATTTTCCTTATGGCTCTCTGCTTTTCTGCCTTGCAGGTAACTGCTGATGAATGATCTCGTGCATTAACACGATGGGGTAGGATGCCCCCATGAAGTTAAAAAGCTGATTTGTCTTAATCACAGTAGTGTGAGGGATTTGGGTTGCTTTGCAACTCAAATGTAAGGAGTCTAAAGGTATCAAATACATTTGTCTGATAGAATTTTGTTTTTTAAGGAAGATCAATTAAAAAAAATCAAAATAAAAAAAGACAAGACCGGCTCTTTTCATGCTAGACATGAAGTTTAAAGTCGCATTTTTGTGACAGTGTTAAAAATAAGTAAAATTAAGAAAAAGAAGTGTTCATTTTTCTGCCTTTTTCTAAGCTTGGAAATGAATGATCCAAATCAGATTACTCATAAATAGCTAATGTCTGTCAAACTACATCTGGATGTTGATATTTGTTACACATCAGTATCCATATAGCTCATCCATTAACTGGAAGTGATTTAAAATCAAGAAGATGCCACTGGTTACGAGAAGAGATCGTTTAAGCAAAAGATTTGTGGAGGAAAAAAATATATAAGTTTTTATAAAAGCTTTAATTATATTTTATACATAAAACATTATTTTAATGGGCTTTCTTTAATGAAGACTGCTCACTGTTTAGGTTGTACAGCAACAGGAAGGAGAAAAGGAATCTTGGATCCTATTTAAAGAGCAGCCTGTGAATTAAAAAGCTATTAAAGAATTCTGCAGTCATTTAGGGAAAGATTTTGCATGAGAAAAGATTGGTGAATCCAGGGAGCGTCGTGTTGCTTTGGACCAGGCTGGGCGACACCATCTGCATGTTGTGAGCAGTAGGCCCAGCTCTGGGGGGGCACTGCTGTGTCCACCTCTGTTTGCACATCGTCCCCACGTGGCAGTGGGAGCACGCGTTGTGTGTTAGTGCTGATGAGGTCTCTTCTCTTGCTCGGGTTTTGAAAACTGAGTTATTTGTCAACTCTCCAAAGGTCGATTCGAACTCATTCCAAATTTTATTTGATTAAAGCCATCATGCTCACAGTTGGAAAAATGAAATGCAAACAGCCGTAAGTTACTGTGTCTCGGATGGGTAAATGTCAGGCACAGAATGAAAGGGCTTTTTTGCTAGGTTTAAGTGAAACAGAGTCTTTATTTAGTGTCGTGTTTTAATTTATTTATTTAAAAGCATTTATTTAAAGTTCTAAAAAACAAAGAATTCAATAAAGCAAGACAGGTGCAACTGCAAATGATTAATGATATAATTCTTGGTACTTTATAAAGTGTCTAACACTGAGGAGATTTATACAGTGCAGAATGGCAATTGTGCTTTGATGGGAGGAATAGGTAATCAATACCTGCAAGCTTAGAAAAAGTGTTCTATTTCCTCCTCTAATGATATAGGGTTTTTTGCAAGGCAAGGATGTCTGGAGCATGAGACACTTGGAAGAAGAATTAATTTGAAATCCGTAGTGGAAGATCAGTTTCAATTAAAACTGCACTTGAATGTCCATGAAAAAAGCAGGCTGTTAGGCTTAAGCCTGATGGCTACTAGCAAGTAAATGAATCCCACTGCACTCTTCCTGATTACGTTTTGTTGCGCTTATTTTCTCTGGGTAGGAGGAGGAGGAGTTCATTTACTTCTGTCTCAAACTCAAAACTAAAAATGTCCTTCTTTCTTGCCTCCCCAGCCCTGTTTCATCCCACTAATTGTTGGAGTTGAGCTGCTGAGGTTGTGGCCTCTATTTCTGCCTGCAATCGCTGCCATAACAGTGTGGGTCATACTGCATGTAATGCTTTGCATATCAAAAAGTTCTGAAAGAAATTAATGAAAAATGCGGCCGTTTATACATCCTGTGCTGATTTTGACTAGCAGGTCTTGAACCTCTAAATCAGAGCTTAGCCTTGTGGCTGTAATTTGGGATGCCAGGACTTGGAGTCACAGCTGCAGTGCTTGGTTGGGGTTGAATTGAATTCAACCCCATGAATTGCTGAGTTTCATTGCATTCGATTTTCCTTTAATAATGCAGCACCAGTATGGAAACATTTTAAGCATGGAAACGAATGCTAGCACATGAGGATAGCAGATAGCACTGCTTTTGGGGTAAATTACAGATTTAGAACCAAGTGAAGATTCTGTATTTATAGAAAGAGATGTGTTGCTGTATTAAACTAATTCCAACAAGTTAAATTGGCAAAAGAAGACAGTGTGTTCTGTTTTTTGGGGGGGTGAGGGGGGTTTAAGTGATACAAAGATTGCAAAAAGAAGAGCATGTGTTTGTTGAGGTTTTTTTAAGTGATACAAAGACATAAAAGCTTTCACATAAAAGAAGTCAGTGCTGGGAAAAATTACATTTCAGTAGGAGTCAGTGCAGGTACCTAAGTCACTTGAGGTTTTAACTCACCATGGTGCTTTGTTTGCTTATTTACTCTTATGGCTTATTTTATTCATTTTGCTAAGACAGTTTCCACTGCAAATTGGCTGAGAGCTGGCTACACTTTAGAGAGAAAAAAACCTTTGTGACAAGATGCATGTAGGTAACCCTACAATCCCTGTTAAAATAGGTTGGCTTATTCAAAATTGCAATCTCCCCATTGACTGAAGGGTCACCGAAATGCTTACAGGAATGTGAGTGCTCAGCTTCCTTTGAAAGCACAGCTGAAACCACTGCGATAGCCTCTGCGAGCAGAGTGCTTTTGAAAAGCTCACCCTATGTTTATAACAAAGCCAAAAATGAGAGCTGGCAGGTTTGATGATTTTGGGCGCTACTGAACATTTTAAAGCAAATTCCTAAATTTCATGGAATAAATGCATGGTTGTATGGAAAGTAAATCTGAATTGCCAGTTAATTCACTGCAAAACAATTGCTGAGAGCATTCTGATTCAGGAAGAAAAAAAAAAAGAGTGCAAGTGGAACACATTTAGTTTTCCCCACGTAGGGCTTTTAATAATTTTGTTCTCCTTAGTTGCGGTACATTGGGAAATTAACTGAAAGTGGCTTTTGCTGACAATACAAGTTGAACAATGAGATAAATGAAACTGAGCTTTTTTTAACCTGGGCAAATAATGTGAGTGATTTTTAAAGGGTGTTGCAATTTTGCTTAATTGTAGTTGAAAATAAAACACTTTCATGTCGTTTTGGTTCCCATTCAGCATTTGCACGTGATAGGTACTGCACAACATCTGATTACTGATTGAGTGTCCTGCAGCGGCCCGAGGGAAAGTGAGAAAAGTCATCTCACACTCAGACACTCATTGGAACCCTGCACCAATGGAGCTGGCCTTCACAACCACTGGGGTTGGATGGCACTAATTGAGATTGCGTGTTTCTCAGATGCTGGGGTAATAAATGGTGCATCGTTTGCTGCTGCGTGCCTGTTGAGCAGACATGGTGACTGGGTGGTTCAGGAGGTGCACAGCTGGTGTGGCATCTGAGGGGCTGGCGGAGCAGGGGTCAGCCCTGCCCTGTAACTTGGCTGTTGTGGATGAGGGAAACCTCTTCTTTCCCATCATCAATTTCCCTGTCTTTGCATGAGAATAACGGAGCCCTGCTGCAAAGCTCTTCAGGAACTGTAAGTGAGGAGCGCTTTGCGGGAACTGTGTGCTGTTATTTCAGGAGCTTAAACTGCTGTTTGCACTCCCAGAAACATAATCTCTTAGTCTCTGTTAATACAATTTAAGAGTTGGAGCAGGAGGTCATAAGAAAAATGTGAAATCGCTGGAGATCCTCCTCTGTGTGCAGAGGTTCCTGGTGTTGTATTGCATCTGGAGCTGGTGTGTGCTGGGAACGGCAACGTCTTTGTCTGAAACCTTTTCCTTCCACCTGCTATATTTATTGACCGTTCTTGCTGGAGAGCTATAGAATGGGCTGAGCGAGTGCAGGTGGTGGCAGGCAGCTTCTGCAGGCTGAGCAGTGCGTTGTGCCGCTGCCTCTCGCAGCACTGTGCCGCTCTGTGATGCATCACTGCCTTCCTTCCCATGGCAGAGGGGCCAGGGCAATCCCACTGCAAAGTTTAGCTGAACAGTTCGGGGTTAGGGATGGGGGTTAGGGACCAAGATTAACACACCATGAAGTAATCTGGGGCAGGTGAAAGCTCCAGAACAGAAGAAGAAACTCTGCACCTCCTGTCCTTTGTGAATTGGGTGTACAGATGTGCCAACAGCTGCTTCAGAAACCACTTAGAAACACTTCAGTGTGTGATGCTGAGTGCATCAGGACCCGCCATACGCCTAGTGTGCTGGGGACAGAGGCTGCTCTGACATTGCTCCTCAGAGCTGAAGCTCATCCCTTGTTGCCCTCTGTGGCAGCCAGCGATGGGCTCACCCGTACAGATGCACAGATTGCTTTCCAGAACCTAAACTCCTCCTGGCTTATAAATAGAAAATTTGTGTAAGAGGAACACCAAGAAGTTACAGCATTTTTCTGGCAGGTCACTGTTGTCTTCACTTCCTCCAGCAAGAGATGTCTTTTTTTCCTTTGCTGTTTTCTTCAAATTTACTAATATCCTATTTGCTTTAATTCTTCATTTTCATTTTTTCTGGCTTTAAAACCTTCTGAAGAAATGAGATCATTAATAAAGATCATATTATCTAATTAGAGCATTGTAGAAGAGCAAGTTAATGCCTGGCTGGTACATTGTGTATCTCTTCTAAGAAGGTAAATGCATACTCGTATATCATGGCTGAAGCTTTAGGAAAGTTCCTGTAAACCCATGCTAATTCGTAACATACGCATGAGGGAATTACAGACAGTTTTATAGAATAGTAATTAAAAAAAAAAAGAGGTATTGTTTGTTACTGCCAGAGGCAAAGTTTGAGTACTGCATGAAGCTAATGGTTTTTGATCTCTTCATAAGTTTACAAGTCTTAACCTCTTTCAGATGCACGAGGTGTAGCAGCAGTGATGTTACCTGGGGAGCCTAATGATTCATCCTCTTACTTAAGCATAATCCAGAATTAAGGAGCCACTGGAATGTTAATTTGATTTGTATTTGTTAACAGGTACCTATGGTCCCGAGCACTGGGTTACTTCCAGCGAGAAGTGCGGGGGGTCCCACCAGTCTCCCATAGACATTGTGGACCATCAGGCTCATGTTGGAGATGAGTATCAGGAATTGCAGCTCGATGGTTTTGACAATGAATCTTCTAACAAGACTTGGATGAAAAACACGGGAAAAACGGGTATGTTCTCTTCTGTTTGTCTCCATAGCCTGCCTGCAGCCAATTAGAAATTCAAGCCATGTTCCATCCTCCTCCTCTTTCATTGTTCTGTTGTTTGGGGTTTGCTTTTTTTTAAGAAAATATAATTTTCCAGAAGCTGCCTCCCATCCCTGCCTTTGCATTCTGTGCAAAGCAATTTCTGCAGATTGATTTTAAGGTTCATTTTTTAAGGCTTTTTTTTTTTTTTTTTTTTTTTTTGTGGTTTTTTTTTCAGTTCCCCGTACAAAATAATTCTCTTGGTAGTGAGTCGTTCCTCAGAATAAAAGGCTGTATGAGAGCTTCAAGGTGTAACCTTGAGTTATCAGCTTTGGGAGGCTGAAACATCTAATCCAAAGGAGTGCTGAGATGCAAGGCTCAGACTTTGTAGGAAAGGGGAAGTTTTAGAAATCGGGAGGTTTTGGAGAAGAAAGAGCAATAAGCGCTCAGAGTAGTGGGAGCTTATGAATGTGTTTCTGATATGATTATAGCACTGTGTTCTTCACTGAACTGAATCCTCTTCTGCTCTGTCTGTTCTGGCTTCCAGAGAAAAGAACAGTGAGAATACTGCTTATTTTTACCAAAACAGTTCACCGAAAGGTCAAGGTTGATTTATATGCAAAGCTGCATGCATTTGATTACTCTTTAATTCTAAAAATGTAAAAATCAGAAATTATAAGGCCATCCTCTTCATTTGACAAGGTCAAATATTTTTAGGGAATTGGATTAAACCGCTAATTAATTCAATTTTATTTATTCAAAGTATATTTTTATCTTTATTAACATTCGACATGTGTGCCTGCAGTGCTTTAGGTAACAGGTTCCTCGTCAGTTTGCATTCAGCTGTGCCCACAGCCTGACCCACTGCCCCCACGGGTCTTTGGGTGTCAGCCACCAGGTGCTTTGGACCCAGTTCCAGGGACTTACTGGGAGGCATTGCCCCTCAGCTGAGGAGGACAGGCCGGGATCCTGCTTTCTTTCACTGCTAAGCAAATCTGGTTAATGTAAACCACTGGTTTTTTAATGCATTACCGAAGGTTTTTTTCCAGCTTTGCTAAGAAATGCTCCTGTTTGCTCTCAAATCCTGACTTTGTTGCCCTTCATAGCAAAATGAGGTTCAGGGGAGGCTGAATGCTGTGGAATTTGGTGCTTAATTAATCTATTTGTGTTATGTACCCTGCTCTTTTGGTCGCAAAGAGCAAGTGTAGTTATCGGCAGTAAACGTAATTAGAAATACCAAGAAAAAAAGATGGTGCTTTTCTTCCAAGAGAAATGCTAATGCTACATGGTAAGTATAATAGGAACATATTGCTGCACATATAATAGGAAACCATGCAGAACCAAAACGGCACGGTGAATGTTCCAGTCTTCATGCAGTTGGCAATGAAAGCTGTATCTTCGGTCTCCTCTGCTGGGTGATTTTAGCACCGCTACTATATTTGATTTCCTCACCCATTGGGGTGTGGATTTTTGCTGACAAGTTATTGCTTCTCAGGGCAACAGTAACTACCACTGTTCTTGGGTAACTTTGAGATTTTGCAGGTTAGGCAAAGACTCTTTTTTGCCCTGCTATCATCTCTGAGTCTTCTGCTGAACTCTTAACTCCTCCCTTGATTTATCACATTCCATTCCCTTGGTTTACTGACCTTTGGAAGAAACTTGTCAGGGATTACTTTTTAAGGTAGTAAGTGGTACAGCAGCAAACCAGGTAGGATGTTTTGGTCTATGGGCAGAATGCAGCAGCAAGTTGTGCCGGTTGTGATGTGTGTCAACAGCAGTCTTGGAGTAGATGACCACAGGAGACCTTCCTGTTGCTGACTGACAGTAAGCTGCATTTCAATTTGTGCAATGGTGATGGATGTAGAGGGCATTTCACTGCAATTAATGACTGGTTAAAGGAGATTGGGGTCTGAGGAAAAACCAAAGGCCCTTAACTTTGATTCTCATTAACTGGCAGGAAATGCATTGTGTGGGTTATTGCTATTCAGCTGCTAATTTTTTGTTTATTAGAATTGACCGATTAGTTACTTTTGTGCTTTTAAATATTAAAAGGTAAAAAGAAATTTTGATTTGTTGTGCTCTTTTTTCCTTTCTCTTCATATCATCTAAAGGGCAAGCAATGTACAGGACACAGAACTTCATTCAGAAAATGAACATATACTCATTATGCCAAATGCCTCAGCCAGAAATGCTTTGCATTGGATTACACTGACTAATGTGGGTTTGATTTCATCACCATAGAAGCTGGTTCCCAAGTGGTAAAGATTACTTGGAGAGTAGAAGCACCTTTCATGGTTGTTGTTGCCTGTGCCACCTTTAATTAAGTGTTAGCTGGTGTCAGCTGGGCCTGAGGCTGATGGAGCTTCTGGGCACTACCCTGTGGGAGTGGAGCATCTGTGGGAGCAGTTCCCACAGCAGCAGTGCATGCACTGCGGTTTTACCCCTCCTTGGATCACTCAGAGCTTCTAATGACTCTGATAAACTCACAGGCATTGGTGCCAGAGGTGTGTTTGGGTACTCTTTGTACCTTGTGTGCGTCTCAGGCTGGGTCAGAGCTGCTCTGATAAGACAAGGGAAGAGCTGCTTTGTATCCAGGCTTGGTTTTGCTCTCGAGAAGGTGGAGGATGCATAGATCCAGCCCTGGTCCTGCAAATTGCATCAATGATGGTGATCCTGGTGGTTGTGCACCACCTGCTTTGTTTTTGAAATCTCAATCATACGTTAATTTTAAGCTTAGTAGTTACGGATGGTTAATTCCTTCCTGTGCCCTCTGCATGACTTACTGGATAAAAGCAGTGGATCCCAAAACCCAGTTTGGCTGCTCCAATCCCTAATACCAGAAATCACATGGAGGGAAGGGAAACCTCCAAGTTAATGGCAATAAGGAGGTGCTGCTGAAACAGGACGGTGCTGAGAACACGCGTTGTAGAGCTCAGCAGTGTAAGGAATTCTGTAAAATGAACAATTAGATGAACATTTCAGATTGTACATCCTCCTAATTATCCTTTTAATTATTCATCTGAAACAAGTAAAATGACCCCTGACAGAGCCATAAATGATTTAGGAACTATCAAATATTTATTAGATGCAACTGAATCCCCACAGAGATTTTTAACAGACGCACGCATATCTGCTTTCCTGTATTCTTTAAGTCCTCCAATTTTGTCTGTGGAATTTTGAACCAGTGAGATGTTTGGTACCTGAAATACTGCTGAGCTCATTGAGGATTTTGTAAAGGAAGAGGAGAGCAAGCAGTGGTGCTTTTTGTCACTTGTGTTTCGGGGTTGGTGTAAGGATGCAGCAGTACCTGGGTGATACAGACTGTATCCTGCAGCCTCCAGACTTCCCACGCAAATGCTTTAATATGAAGGAAGTAGAACTCACGGAAGAGCCCAGTGGTGTCACTGGTGCAATGAATAAAGGCCTGAACATCACATGCACATCGGCATTTAGATGGTTTTAATATAAACAATTTGATGCTTAGACATTTCTTGGTTGCACAGTTACACCTGAGCTGGAGCTGCTGTAGCCCGCAGTCTGTACTTGCAGGGAGCAGCCCTGCCATGGCAGACAGCCCTGCCTGCAGCATGAGGTGATTCACCAGCAGAGGAGTAGCTCCTGTTTCACAACCAGCCTCTAGATTTTTTCCAGCAGTGAATAAAACCCTCTCCGTTACATAATAAAAGCGGATTTATATTAATGTTCCTGTTGTGATGATACAGCTGGATTGAGAACAGAGAGAAATCCTTGTGGGTCGAGCTCTTCTCATTTAAAAAAAAACAAAAAAAAAAAAAACAAAAAAAAAAAGAACAACGAGCAGCACAACTTCAATCACAGGATTCTGGGCAGAGCAAGCGGTAGTCTGCAGTGGCTTTTACAAGAACAAAATGCTAATTTTAGTTCTGTTTTTAAGTGCCAGTTTTGCAGAAAATGAGGGGAAAGGATTTGGTAAGGAGTCATTATTAGGAGTTATGCATGTTAAAGGTGGGAGGTGCTGGAAGGGTGGGTGATTGTGTAGTGAGAGCAGCGGACAGGGATGTCAGAAAGCTGGGTTCAGTTCTTGGTGGGATGGTAGTTCTCCCTGTATCGTGTACCATTTTCCACCGTATGACTTTGCCCTCTGTTTGGACCTACAGCTTTTATTGTTGCATAAAATATAAAGGCTTTTCAGAAGGGAAAAGAAATTACAAAGAAGATCCTTTTGACCCTTACTGAATTGTGTAACAGTAATATCAGTTACTGTAAAGAAAGAACCAAAACAGTTCTGATGGGGGCTTCTCATGAGTGGGTTTCAAAAAAGTTATTGTCACTCTCCGTGTTTTACAGAAGGGAAGAGCAAGGGGGTCGAGGAATGTACCTGCCATGTCCAGCAGTAGGGGGGGACAGGACACAGGCCCTTTTTCCCCTGGTAACTTAGAGGAAATACAACAAACAGAGGATCTTCTAACTGGTTATCTGCACACCTTCACTGAATCACAAGGCCAAGCAATGTGGTCAGCCATTAGTCCCTGCAATGACATTAAATGGTTCTTGATAAAGTTTGTCATTTCAGTTTTAATCAAAGCCCAATGGTAAAATCTGCTTGCAGAATTTGGACTTGGTGGTTTTCTGTAGCCTATATAATCACTTCTATAATTAGCCAGCATTAAATGTAGCTTTTTTTTTTTTTTTTACCAGTCCCTGTGAAGAGGATAATGATGACCTCATGTTTTACTTGCATTAGAAGAAATATTCTAATATAATGAGCAAAACCTGTAAATGCTTCAAAAAACTGTGCTAAGAAGGTCTTTCTCCTTGTTCTGTGTGTGCAGTTGCTATCCTGCTGAAGGACGATTACTTTGTCAGCGGCGCCGGGTTGCCAGGCAGATTCAAGGCAGAGAAGGTTGAGTTCCACTGGGGTCAGAGCAATGGATCAGCAGGCTCTGAGCACAGCATCAATGGCAAGAGGTTCCCCGTTGAGGTGAGTGGAAAGACATGTGCTTCTGTTCTCCAAAAAAAAATAAAATCAGAATGTATTGCTGTAGTTTGAGACGGCTGTGAAATAGGGCAATGTTTCCTTCAGTGAACATATCACTTTCAAGGCCCTTCTGGCCCTCGCAGCACTCTATCTATCATCTCTTATGTGCTTTTGCAATGTCAGCTCCGAGCTCTGCTTTGCTCGCATTGCTAGCTTTCACATCCCGTGGGCTGTTTCAAACTGCCACTTTTCTGGTTTCTCCCATAAGCCCCTCTGTGTATGGGAGGATCTCCTTGCAAATACCTGCAAAGTGACTTCATTGTCCTCCAAATCCTTTCTTTCCCAGGATGCTTACAAACAAGCAGCTAGCAGTGGTTTGGGAGCCATTGTGCCATGGCTTCTGCCTTTCATCAGCACTGCTTCTTGCATATGTGTGGCCCTCTACTTGCATTCAAGGTTTTCCATGGTGAAATAAAGCAGACTTTATCTGGAATTACTCCTTCTTGTTGGTAATCGGACGAGTGCTTTCGAAGCAAGACGTGTCCCGCTGTGGCATGTGGACGTGAGCAGTCTGTAGGGTGCTCTGCTTGCCCAGAAGGCTCACGTGGACAGACGTGGTTTTCCTGTGAGCTGGGCCTTGGCAGAACTTGATTCAGGCCCCAACTTGCCATAATGTGTTTCCTGTGACTTCAGCCAAGTCCCTTTTTCAGAGCATGAAAATGGGATTCCAAAGCGCGAAGGGAGGTTGTAATAGACCCTAAAAAAGTGCAGTTTACATCTTTCTGCTGCAGCTGTCCCAATGCGTGAGTTAGAACAACTTTTTTTTGCCTCCTGCTGGCACCTGAGCCTGTAGGTTGGATGGTCTGAGGCAGAGATTTATTGGTTGGTTTATTTATTGCAAGGTTTTTCCAACAGCTTCTGGCTTGATGCAGCTGTGATTTTTGGTGACTGCTACCCCCCTCAAACATTTAGAGCATGGGCCTGTTGGGCTGCTGTCTGCCTCAGTTGGCAGTGCTGCTGTTTGTCACTTAGGGTGCTGGAAGGAGCACTGTGGAAGCCTTCAGTCAGCTCCTCTTCTGAAATTTGAGGGAGTCAGGCTGGTAAAGGAGCCTGGACCTTCTTTCTGTAATCAGAAATAGTATTGCCACTGCACAAACCCTTCCTTATGAAGCTATCCTGATGCTGGCTTGATCAATAGAAGTTACTTTGAGGAGGAAAAAAAAAAAAAAAAAAAAGAAAATTCTTAAAAAATAATTTCCCTTTTGTTTAAATATTCTTTATTTACTTTTCAGCTGTTTGGAATGCTTATTTAATCTGCTTTAAAATTAAAAAAGAAAAAGGAAAAGAAGAATTTGCCCTTCTGAATTCTGTCACTGTTTATGAATGCTGTGCAAAACAATTTTCTATATCAGATAGGTTTAGTGTTAATCCTTATAATGAAAATGTAATTTTCCAAGTGATTTGTATTCATTGCTATAGCATGAGCCTCTGATCTCTGGCCTTTCAAAGTATGAATGCATTCAGCAGGATTCCCACAGATTTTTCTTTTCTGTTTTTATAAGGGAAGAGCATTTTCCTAAGCAAGACTTTCCTTATTGCTTTGCTATGTACCACCTCTCTAAGATTTCCAAATTTTGTCCACTTCATTAAATCATGTGCTGGAAAGGATTTTCCTGGGTGGATTTTGAGAGGTGCTCAAAATATCCAGTAGGTCGCAGGTGATAAAACTGTTTTCTTCTCACAAAAGTAGTTCTCACAGCTGAGATTTTACCTCTCAAGCAGTAACTGTACATGTGTGCATGGTGCAGCTTTTAATTTGGAGCACTAATTGTAGTTCAGCATGCAACTGCCTGATGCTGTGAGATGTGTGCCAGAAATGCTGTGTTTCATTTCAGAAATAACATTTCTAGGTAGGCTTTGGAAAGGAAAAAAGCAAAATCCCATCCTACAGAAAGTAAAGCCCAAATCAGTCTGACTGTTCTGAGTCCCTGGGCAGAGGTAAGGGTTTTAAAGAGTGCACACAGGTATCGATGTGCCAGGTCTGCATCAGTTATGGTGGAAATGCAGTTGAAAGCAACCATTTTCTGAGTCTAATTGAGAAACCAGATGTGGACTATGCAAAATCCATCAGTTCCAAAGCACGTCCCAAGGGAACACAGATAAATCAGCATCTTCCATAGACTCTGCTCTGTACGCTGAAGTTTGGACGGTTTTTTCCTCTGGGAAACAAACTGCTTGCTGATAGTCTTTTTTTCTTGAAAAGGATACAGAAAGTAATTAGAAATGTCAGATATAATACAGAGCATTATTGTTTGACCATGTTGTTTGGTTTTTATTATTACAACTAATGTGTCAGATGGTAAGGCTGTCTACGTTAATTGGTTTCCTTCATTGAAGCCCATCTGGATCATATTTTTTTGTGATTTATATGTTAAATTAGTTGGTAAGATATATGAGAACGTCCTTTTGTTTCCTGCTTTAAAGGCGTGTTGGATCAAAGGCGTATTATCTTGCAGTACTTTTTTGCATATGTAGCATATTGTGATTCCTTTTTAAACCATGGCATATGTAATGGTATTCTAAATGGTTTCCTTCATTATATGGTCTTGATTGCTTATTTATTGATTAGATTTTCCCTGATGATACTTTATCCTTATGAAGTCATTATGAACTTGGCTTTCTCTGAAGTATCATTTACGAGTGGAGATGAACATATGTCTCCAACTTCTATCCATGATCAGAAGCCAGTCCGTGACACCAGGCCTGGTCAGCATCGGCTTCGAGTTTCTTTTTTCCTCTTCCTTGCCATTTTTGCATCCTCATCTGTGAGGTCAATAAAACTAGTGCTGCGATGCTGAAGATTAAAGCAAGACCATTAGTGCATTGCTGTGCCAGTGGAGCGTGAATCCTAATGAGGATATGGGCTCTGTGCCAGTTTAGAAAAAGTCTCCCTCCTTTTTTTCCTCAAGTCAAGAAAAGTTTTTTGACATCGCAGTCTCTAAATTTTAATGAATTGCTGACTCCTCTGTATTTTGTTGTTGTTCTTTTCCATTATAATTACTCGAGTTTTTCTTTTGCTTTCTGAACTTGAGGCTCTACAAACAAAGATGCAAACGCCAGAAACCATTTAAATGGCGAAGTGACAAAACTGCAGTAAAGAAGCAGTTTCCCTCAGGCCAGGAGAGAACCCAGGTTCCCCTCATTAGAGCCAAGAGGAATAATTGCAGCCCTTTCATCTCTGGTGCCATTGCCTGGCTCCCAGCCCTGCCTGCTGCGGGCCATGCTGGTGGCTCAGGCTCCTGCTGGGGGAAGCCCGGCGCTCGGAGCTGACGCAGCAGCGCTGCACTGGCGATGCTCGCTGCCGCCATCCCAGCATTGCTGGGATTCTGAGCTGCCTCGTACTCATTTTTATGCAAAATGCTGATTATTTCTGTGAAGAGCAGAAATCAGAAGAGTGATTTTAATCACGACTGTGTTAATTTGATGTGAGCTTTGGCTGTTTATGAGCTTTCTCTTTAATGGCGCTAATTGTCGGTTATAATGTGAACACCATTATGTAGTAATATACAGTAATTTATTTAGTAAATGAGAATCTTATTCCAAGGACCATACTGCAATATGCCATAGAGACCTCATCTCTTTAATCTTACATGAACAAACTTGCACTTTCTAGGCCAGATTGGTTATAGGAACATCAGCTTTTCTTCTGGAAAGCAGTGTGATTTTGTTGTACCCACAAGCACCAGCATGCATGTTTTTGGAGATCACTAGTTCTTCATTTAAAGCAGACAATAACAACAACAAAATATACAACTGAAAAAGAAAACCAAACCCACAAAGCATTCCAGCAGAAAATGAAGAGCTAGCACTCTTTCATGTTGATTAACGAGCTTTTACGTTACGATGATTGATTCATTTCATGAAATTATTATTATAAACAATCATTTGCATTAATAATTTTTGTTCTCCTTTAAGCGTGTTCCTTAGAAGACCTTCCAGGTTCTAATGGTATCTTTGTTCTTGCTATTTCTTTGATTTTCTTCCCTTTCCCCTTGAGTATACATACTAACTTCAGCGCTGTAGATCTCCAGCTAGTTGCTCTAATTTGAATGCTCAGATCTCCTTGCCAAAGGTTATCACCATTCACTATCTTACCTCTCATTATATCACTTAAATTCTCATGTTTTATATTATCACAGACGGAAGATAATCAATGTTGTTAATGTAGAAAAGATGTGTGGTACTCAGTGCACAAAAGCCTTTATTACAGGATATGAACTGAGACCGGCTCGTGTTCTGGGGGTCGTCCTGAATGGTAATTCTTTCTGTGATCTCTAAAGTGTTACCTACTGTATTTCTCCAGGCTTTCGTCCTCCGGTAGATGATGGGATATGTGCTACTTTCGTCCACCGGTAGATGAT